ATTCTGTGAGCTGCCCCGAGTCCTACGGGAGAAGGGCGGCATATAAATTTGATAAAATAAATAAATAAAATAAATATTGTTCAATTATATAGTTACCTGTCAAGCAAGATTATTAGTTTTTTTTTAAAAAGTAAAATTTAACTTTTTAAAAAGTAAAAATTTAAAAATCTTTCAGAAATTTCTCAAGCAAGTTCAAAGGCTTTAGCCATAATTTTAATACTGTAGAAAATATTGAATAGAACTGATTTTATGAATTTTGGAATGGTGCCTGTACCACATGGGTTTCCAAAAGAATGTTACAAAAATAAAAATGAAGCTCAGCCTTTATATTAGAAAGAGAAATCTTTTGATAAAGGGTTTCCCTTATCATTTTACGAGGCAGATATAATTGTTATTTTGAAAGTTCTAAATTTTTTTATAAGACTTTTATAAATCACCTAATATTGCTGTTACATCGGGATACAAACATTTTAACTGCAACTTTATCATGTACACTATTAGTAAAAAAATATGTATTCTACATGAGCTGGTTACTGTATATGAAAGGATATCAAGTTTCTGATTTTCTGATTATCTATCTATCATCTATCTATATCTATCATCTGTCTATAATCTATCTAGCCATCTATATATCTATAAAATTTCTATGTTACCCATCTCACTTAAGTGATTCTGGGTGATTTACAAATATTGCTATGTTATTGATAGATAGAGCAATCCAACTTTCTTTTTTAAAACTAGTTTTTGAATGAATGAAATACATTCAAAGGAAAGAAAAGGAAAAATAGTAAAATAAATGTGGAAAAGAAAAACAGAATGAAAAAAAAGAAAGAAAAACAAGGAAAAAGAGGGCAGAAAAAAGGAAAAGAAAAAGAAAATAAATGAACAGAATACTTTCTCTCTCTTTGACTTTTAATTTTCTACAATTCTACCAAACCTCTTTCTCTAAGATGATATCATAATTCCTTTCATTCTATAATCCACTGGTGTCAAACTTGCTGTGTCACGTTGCCGTCACGTGATGTTTTGCGACTTTTTCCCATTTGCGGAACTGTGGTGGGCGTGGCCTGTGCATGACGCATCTGGCCTGCAGGCCACCAGTTTGACACCCTGCTATAACCTATTCTTTCTAATCTCAACCATAAGTCATAAAATCATTTTCTTTTTAGTGTAAAAAGTCCATAAGAAGTTTTCAGTCATTGATGAATGTTAATAATGAACTTTTTCTAATCAAAAATGTCAGTTTGTCCATCTCAGCAAATTATGTCAATTTCACCAACTATTTGTCTATAGCGTGTAATGTTCATTTACTATAAATATCCATACCTCAGGTCATGGTCTTCTAACTCTAAAAGTCTTTTGTTTCTCAGCAACCCCCGTTCTTTTATCCAAACCAAACTACAAGCTGCAGAATACAATTTCAAATTCATAAATTGTCTCTTCTCTCTCTTTCTCTCTTTCTTTCCTCCCCCCCCTCTCTTTTCGTTTTTTGCATCTTGCCTTTATAATTATCTGATGGTTTTTCTCTTGTCTTCCAAACTTAGATATGTCTGCTTGCCATTGCTTGAATGGTACATCATTGTTGGAACAGGTATTGTCTAAAACAACAATCAACAAAAAATCATTCTAGTCAAAACACTCATTTTTGTCATAGAAATTCTCCCCAACAGCAAATGGGCAACAATTGGGAAGACAATTTTAATTTCTCCTATCTTAATATAATCCTTCATTATTATATACCATGTTTGAATATAACTATTTTAAAGTAACGTATAATTCATATTCATCATAATAATGCCCGCATATTCCAAAGCAGTTTATCAGCCTCAAAAATGAGACAAAATGAATTTGATAGCACTGCAAGTTATTACCAATTACCACACCGCCACACTGCCATCACCTTTATAAAATATTTTATAAAATATCTATAAAATAGCCACTGGCATTACTAATTTGGACCATGCTTATTTAGGTCCCTAAGTTATATCTAAAATAGAACAATTATTCATAAAATGCAATTTTGACATCCCCAGATATGTCAAAATTGCACAAATACTGAAATGTGATGTGAAATCTTTTCCAGTAACTAAAATTGTAATATTTTGGAACTGGTTATTCTTGATGTATATGCAATTGTGCAAGGCTGTTCAGAGTTTAGGAAGTAAGTAAACCTGCTCTTTCGAAATGTATCTCAGCTATATCAGAAGTGAAGAAACGGAAGTGAGATTTCAATCCATATGGGGAAGAAAAGTTCCCAGGTAAGAAGATTGATTGATTGATTTGGTTGTCTTCTTAACAGACACTTCTAAAATTCTGTTTTCACTTTGTCGTTATGGGGTATTGAATGTAGATTAATGAGAAAAATATGAATTTCAACAACTGTAATATCAGGCTGCAGCATAACCAAATTGACAAAAGTGAAGGAGATCTGAATACTTTTTGAATACACTATACATATATCTACCAGTATGTACTGTATATCTATGTCTATTTATCTATGTATCAGTGGTGGGTTGCTCCCGGTTCGGTCCTGTTCTTGCGAACCGGTAGTAACACCGGCGGGAGGCTCCGCCCACCCGCCCAGATGTCATCATGAATGATCTGCACATGCGTTGCGAACCAGTAGCGGAGGTAAGTACCCACCCCTGATATGTATATATACACACACATATTTATGTGGTATTGTATTGTTATTATATTATGGTGAAATATAAGTAATATTGGTTAAAAGAAGAGATAGAACTGTTTCTGGCCAAACAACCTTTGCTGAAGTAAATGAGTCTGAAAATAGAACAACTTTAGGGGGGAAATTAGAGGGAAAGACAGATTCATCATGTGTTTGATAAACAGTTAATCAGCTTTCCTGAAATTCACTACTGATCTTTAACCTCACAGGTAAATATGATGGATGATCTATTGTATGATGTCTTGGCTGTCCAGCATATTCATTCTTCCTTAATAACTGCAATGTTTGCTAGATTCCTCTTTCCCAATATTGCCCTCTCAAACAAATGGCATCTCCCAAACTTGTTGAGAAATAATTGAGCTGGAACAAAGAAGCCCAGGAAAGAAAGCTTCAATTAAAACTACAGATTTACTCTTTCAGCTACTTCAGATAACCAGCGATCTCAATTGGTCTCTCCACACATCCTCCTTGTGTGGAAATGCAGGAAATGCAGACACAACCAGTGTCTGCATTTCCTGCACCGGATGAGGAGAGCACATCTTTCTCCTTCTGTCCTCACCACTTTTTACAAAGCATTTTAACAAACTGCATCAGTGTTTGGTTTGGTGGCTGCAGTGCCTCAGATAGAAGGTCCATACAGAGAGTGGTAAGGACATCTGAGAAGATTATAGGAAGCTCACTTCCTGTTATTCAGGATACTGCTTATAAGTGCTATGTACTCAGAGCTCAAAGCATTGTTAGAGACCCCACACACCCACTTCACGGTCTGCTTCTTTTGCTCTCCTCTGGGAGGAGGTTTCAAAGTATTTCTAGCAGGACTACCAGATTCTGTAACAGATTTGTTCCTTATGCTATCCGTCTGGTAAACTTGCATGTTTCTCTCGCCATGTACCTTTATATATCTGAACTAGACTGTGTTCTTTCTCTGTGTCATATAATATATGTGGGTATATACATATTATTAATTAATGTATTAATTAATTAATTAAATTAATCATGTCATGTCATGTCTATGTAGAGTATATTGGAGGTGGTGATCCTTTGAGAGCTGTATGCAATGAAATTTCATTTTAATGTATGCTGGTTAGTGTACATTCAAAGTGACAATAAAGTTATTCTAAGTTCTAAGCTCTAAGTCTTCTTGAATTGGAAACTTGTTAGCATAGAAGAAACCAAAGACTGTTTTACACAACAAACATAACCTGGTTACTCAACCCATTTTATGACATTGAACAATACTAGAACATCACTTGGGTGGGGGCGGGCAAAAGCCCTACTAAGCAGGTATATACAAAAGTATGAAGGCTATTGCTTAACGTATTGTAAGCCGCCCTGAGTCTCTGGTGAAGGGCGGCATATAAATCGAACCAATAAATAAATAAATAAATAAATAAATAAATAAATAAATAAATAAATAAATAAATAAATAAATAAACAAACAAACAAATACAGTGAACCAAAAACACTAACAAATGTTAAAACTAACCAAAGTTAGCATGTTGTACTAATTCAGTAACTAGATTTGTAACCAACTTAGGCAGACATATTGCTTTAATGCAGTGAATAAGTTCCTCTGCTCTGTCCCTGGAAGACAAATCAAGAAACAAAAGTAAAAAAAATAGGTGGATTTTGAGTATCTGAGTGTGTTTTAAGGGCTGTTTGTCTGGTTAAGAGCCCTTTCAGTTCTCTATTGCTGGCAGCCGAGGAATAAAGATTATGAAATGAAATTGTTTGGATTGCGGTCAAGTGCATTCATCTTTTGGATTTTGATTGATCCTTAATTAATTGTGTAATTTAAATACTTGGACTTCATATTTATCTTTCCAATTTGTTTAAATACTTGTACTTTCCCAAAAATGCCCCCCAAGACCAGCTGATACTGCAGTTATAGTTAACTGTTTTCTGACTTTCTTTAGTTTTCAAACATTAACCACTAAGTATCTCCTTGAAACCTCTTCACAAACAACCCAAACTATGTGGAGTTGTGAGAACCGAGACCCATTGAGTTCAATTAGACTTATTTCAAATGTCTACAGGATTGCAATCTAATTTAAAAAAAATAAAATAAAAGCTCTGCCCTTTGGATCAAACTTAACATTATGTAAATACATAGTGCCATTAGCCAGCATGTCTTTGGTAATATCAGCAATAAGAAACATATCATATAGCATGATACTATAGTCTGTTTTTCATGAGGTGTGGACAGCAGGAACTTCAGCTAACATTAGTAGTTCACTGGGAGGGAGGGAATGGCTAAATAGCTTCTCATTAGGAAGCCTGCTTATCTATATATATAAAAGTAAAAACCACTCACACATCATCATGAAATCTCCAGAACCGTAAAGCCTACAAACTTGAAATTTGGCATGTATGTTCCTCTTGGCTTGCTAAGAAAGGATTTTTTGAAATGACCATCAAATCATGATTATTTCATATATAGTATTATATTCACATGCTCTGATGCTAAGGAGTTAGATCCCCTCCCCACCTGAAAGAAACTCTGTCCCAACTGCCAGTTGCCTTATATTAACAGACTGTGATGCTACCCCTTCGCTAAATCAGGTGTGGGCGTGGCCAGTGTGTGACTCATCAGGCCTGCAGGCTGGGACATTCTACTCCCCCTCCCCCTCTGTTCCAACTGCCAATTGCCTTATATTAACATGCTCTGATGCTACGGAGTTACACATTCTACATTAGTTTCAGGCTTTAAGTGTCAATTTATCACACCCGATCACATAGTTTTGTAGCGAAGCACAGGCGTCCAGCTAGTGTTCTATAATGTAAAGCGATGAGATGTTACACTTTGATATAGACTCAGTGACAAACTACTCCTTTAGATGTATCAAGAGAAGTATTATTCTTTGCAAAGTGTTCATCTTCATTGGATGCTGGAAGGCACAGAGAATGTAACAGGCGGCAGCTTTGATGGCCATTGTTTGAGACCTCAGTTAGACCTTTTATCCTGGATTTACTCTCTCCAAGCAGATTTTCTCAGGGTTCCTCTCAATTTATCACTTTATTAATCCCTATTTATCAGAAGTAAAGATTTTTGCTTTAAATGGCAGAGATAATCATTCCCCAAGACTTTCTCCCACTAACTTCATGGTTAAATGAATGAATGAATGAATGAAATCACAATGCTATTGCAGAGTAGTAGTTTGGCTTACCAAGGTACCAGCTCTAAGACATGCTTGCACACTTCCCAAGATGTGCCACAGGAGGGCGAGATGACTTCATACCAGTGAAAAAACAAGTGGCTTTTCCTGCAGTGTTACCCAAAGCCCCCTCACTTCCCAGAGCTGCCTCACAACAGGGCACTGCAGCCGGGAAGCTTCAGAGCTATTAGGAATCAGACAATCTGAAAAGAGCACCAGCTCCCCCACTGAAGTAGTACCTACTTGTATAGAATATGCTTTTGAACTGTTAGGTGGATAGAAGCTGAGGAGAGTGACAGGAGCTCACCCTGCCACACAGTGTCTGGGCTTGAACCCTTGGAGCTGAGACCATCTCCACCATCAATGAACCACTAAGCCACTGCACCTCAATGAATGGATGGTTGGATAGATGATAGCTAGAGAGGGAGGGAGGGAGAGAGATCCTATTGAGATGAAGATGTGTATTCCCAGTTTTGGAATCTGACCTTCATTCTTTCTTTTTTTAAACAAATTTTATTGGTTTTTTTCTTTTCTCCTCTCCCACCTTCACCCACATCTTTCTTTCTTTCTTTCTTTTTTGAACAGAGTGTTGGCCGTTTCTTATCTTATACAATTAGTCAAATTCAAATACATTTTACTCAATTACAATTTTTATCAATATCGTCTTCCCCCTTTCCTTTTTTTGAATATACCTCAGTATTTCTATGCTTGCATATATAAACACCTTCTTCATTTATCCCTAAATTCTAACTTTGCTAGTTGTACATATTTGTCCTCTTTTATTCTTCAACAATTCATTCTTTCTCTTAATATATTTATATTTGTTTGTTCAGAGCTACCTTTCTTCCGCTTCATCTTCTTTTTTTATTGTACAGCAATCTTTCTCCTCAAACCTAGCCTCTCCCTCTTCTCCTTCCAAGTTTCTTTCCCCTCCTTCTTCTTCTCTTCCTCTCTTCCCCCGTCTTTGTCAGGTGTAAATGCTCTGACTATACCAGGGATCAGCTATAGCTCAGTAGTGAAAGGGTTAACCCAGACACCCACCTGGTCAGCTCCTCCCATAGACTCCTCCTTACCTGATTCCCCGCCCACAGGTATAAAAGGTGGGCACACTCCTCCATGTTCCTCAGATCTTGATGTAACCAAATGATGATATGATGAACCTGCAAATAAAAGAAAGATATTTTATATAATGACTCAAGTCTCTTCATTGGGCCTGATCCACCAACCTTGTAACAAATTGGTAGCAGAGGATGGTTGGTAAGGCCCAGAGATCCCGAGACACAAGACAAGAACCCATACCCACCTGCAGGATGGCGACACCCCCGAAGCAACGGGAAGGCAACCCATCGGACTCACCAGGGAAAGCAGGAACCTCAACCACCCCCAAAGCCACCGCGATGGAAGAAAAGGGGGAGATCGAAAAAGGGAAAAGGGCCCACCACGACCAAGAAGAAGAGAAGCTGCGACTCGACGTCCTGCAGCTGTTGAAGGAGCGAGCCGGCGACAAGAACCTCCTCACCGACCTGCGGAGCTTCATAATCGACCGCGAGGTGGCAAGGGGCGAAGAAGACTCGGACTCCGAACTCGAAGAGCTGGACTCGGTGAGTGGATCGCCCAAAGGGGCACTTCCAACGGCCACCGAGCCCCAAAGCCCCGCTCAAATTTTGAAACGGCGGCCATCTTTGTCCACGTGGTCGGACAAGATGGCCGACCGCCAACCAATCGATGGACAGAATTCAAAATGGCCGGCGCGCGAAAAATGCCGGACCATGACCCACGATGAAAGTGACCAGGGGGAGGGGACCGAATCCGACTCCGACCCCTGGTACACCCCCAGCGAGCGGCAAGTGGATAGGGCCATGAAGACCCTTGCCGCCGCCTTCGGCCCAGGCCTCAAAATCACTAAGGAGAGGCCGGAGGGGCCAAAACAAAAGGGAAGACGGGGAGAGGGGCGACGAAGCGCCCACCCGAGAGCCACCGACGCCCGTGACTGCTCGCCAGCCCACCTACGCACCCCAGGGACACCGCGCCTCCGATCGCCCAGGCCGCACACCCCGGACCGCGTGGATTGGGGCAGCTACTTACAGCCGTCGCCGGAGCCCCAACGCCGCCAGGATCTTCGCTCCGGAGATGCAGCCGCTGGACGACGACTTCCGGAGCACACCTGGACCCCCAAGGCCGAAGCCGAGGCCTACCCGACCGGCAGAGGCCTCTACAGCGGAGCTACGGCAAACAGGTCCTTCCTCGACGACGGCGGAGCTGAAATGGACTTCGCGCATGCGCTCTTCCGCCTAGAGGAAGAAAAAAGAAAAAAATTACAAAGCGGGACTTTTAAATTGCCGCCAAGCGTGCCCATGCCTTACTGTTCCTACAGGCACATAAGAAACCATGGACAGCAGCCAGCAGTAAGTAATTTTACTAGTGGTACTGGAAACTTACCCGTTGACTTTCCCAAGTTGAGGATGGATGGGGGTAATATCCTAGAGTGGTCACAGCAGCTCCAGGTTATTTTCCTGAAAGAAAATATGTCTCATTTTATTAATGACCCCCCAGAGAGACCATGGACTTTAGAACTGGATTGCATGCACCATAAGGCGTTCTACCTCTTAATTGCCAGTATATCCCCCACAATTTACCACTGTATAGGCCATAACCTAACCGTGTCAGAAATTATAGGAAAAATGTTTGGGTTGTTTTACAGTGAGAGTGTGTCCACCACCACCCAAATTTCCAAGGATTTCTTTTCCGCCAGGCTCAAGCCAGGGACCCCCATGAGTGAACACCTAGTGTCCTTGAGCGGTACCAGGGCAGAGCTGCACCTTAGGGGAGAAGTTATTTCCGACCAGATAATGAAAAGCGTAATAATCAACTCTTTAGATTATTCATGGAATAGCTTCTTAACACATTTAGACACCATCAGCCTAGGAATGTTATCAGTAGAGAAGCTATCCAACAAGCTCATAGCCGAAGACAATCTGAGGAGGAGCCGCCCCGGCCCTCCCAGAGAACATAAGAGTGAGAAGAGGGTAGTCTTCCAAGAGAAACAACACAACACACCAGAGTGCTACTTCTGCGGGTCAAGGGGACACATCAAGAGGGACTGCCCCAAGAGCTATAGGGAGAGAGGCAGGCCAGAGCATAGGCACAAGCAGACGGAAAGACACACATCCGAAGAAAGATATAGGCGTAGAGACTCACCCATTCCCAGGGATAAGAGGGGGAACAGAGACAGCTCACGCGACAGCAGGACAGGATCTCTATATGGGATAGGGGAACACACACACACCACACACCAAGACAAAGGCACCAGCTCATGGCTCCTGGACTCGGGAGCCTCCAACCATACCACCTACAACCAGAAACTACTCTCACATTTCAAGAGGGAGGAATTTTCAATCAAAGTCGCAGATCAAAACCAGGTCAGAGTAACGGGCAAAGGAACAGTCATGTTACCAGGCTTAGGGAAAATAGAGGGGGTACTGTTAGTCCCGGAGATACCCCACAACATCCTAGCCGCAATAAAACTTAGCAAGGAATCTGGGATTGAGGTGACCTTCACCAAGGGCAATGTCAAAGTTAGTAAGGATGGGGAAGACGTAGGAAGAGTAACAATTAACCAAGGGTTACCTTACATAACTTTCCATGAGAACAACACCCACAGTGTAAACACCAACTCAGAGAATACAGAGGGCACTGACCAAAACAGGACAGAGGGTGAACAGGTAGACGAGAGAAAGACAGATAGCGATGATAACACGACACTAGAAATACAACACAACAAACACACCCAAAGGAAACCCTCAATAGGCAGGCCAATGCATGATGACTGCGCCCATCTGCTGCACCGGAAGCTAGGACACGCCAGTTTTCCCGTTGTACAGAAAATGACCAATTGTACCGAGGGCGTCAAAATAAAAAACTGTAAAAACTACCTCGAGTGCTCGGTGTGCAAGTGTTCAAAACTAAAGGTGAAACCCAGACCCAAGAAGTCGTTACGTGCCACCAAACAAATATTCGACTTAGTACACATGGACCTGGTAGGGCCCCTAAGGCCATCCATAAACTATAAGAAAAGGTACTTTCTCACTATAGTGGACGACTATAGTCGATATGGCTTCGTCTACACCTTAAGAAAAAAGGATGAGGCCTTCCAAAAATTCAAGGAGTTTTAT